GAACAAATTTATATTTTGCTTAAATCCAATTCTTTTATAGACCAGGCTGTTCTGAATAACTGGTTGAGAAGTGAAGGAGTTTTAAATTATTCATTTGATTGTGAAATATGTAAAGTAAGAATGAATGTAAATAAAGCAAAAAAAATTTTGATAAGGAAGTTTTTAAATTCAAAAAATGTTCTTCCACTAAATCAATAAGATGGGGAACGTATTTTTTTGACATGCGCTTTTCATTGTATGAGCTTTTGCAGTTGGTGGTCTTATTTGTTGAAGACGAGCATGCTAAAGATGTTTAAAGTACGGGGTTTTATTCGAAACCAAAGGTTGTTTCTTTTTTTGGGGTGTTGAGAAAAGCTTGTACAAGGTACTGTAATAAGCGTTTCGATAAAATTGGTGCCAATGGAGTAGTTGAAATTGATAAAACTGTCATAAGTAAACGAAAGTACAATAGAAGCAAGATCGTAAATTCACAATGGTTATTTGAGTGCATAGAACGAGCCATGGACAACTTTTGTCTTAGGCTGATTAGTAACAGGAGCAAATCGGTACTAAAAGACGTGATTAGAGATTGTATAATTAAAGATTCTATAGTTCATAGTGACTGTTGGAGTTCTTAAATGCCTCTGTTTGCATCCAGCACTGATTATAAACACTATTCTGTAAATCACAGCCGGAATTTTGTTGATCCAGCAACAAGAGCTAACACCCAATCAATTGAATCCCTTTGGTCTAGATTAAAGCTTACTCTAAGAAATAAAGGATTAAGCGATTATAGGCATCTTAATCACTATCTAGGAAAATTCACATTCCGAGTAAAAACAAAAGATTGCTTTTCAGTTTATATTTTTTCACTTGCTAAAAGATTTAAACTAATTAATTTACCTGTATTTTTATAAATTATTTAAATGTTCTAAAAGAAGTTCTTTTTTTAATTTTTTCTTTTACACGTCATAACACATCATTGAATTTTCCCGCGCGACCAGTAATTTTCCCTCGCGACCTATAATTGACCAAACCAATCAAAGCTTCTCATTCTGCAATAAAAATATATATTTTTTTAATTCGAAAAAATTTGCGACTGCTAAATTACAGAAAACAAATAAATGATTCAGTAAATTATTCATCAGGATTTTAGAGAGGTTATAGTAAATATTTCTTACAAAAGTTCTTTTTCCTTTGTTTTAATTTAATCTAAACTTCTTTAATAAAAATTTAACTGATCTCGATGTAATTCATTATTAAAAAATCAATCAAAGCATAAAAGTTTTTTTTTATTATCTTTTAATTTTACATGGACATCTTAGTATGTCATACTTTTTCTACAAAAAAAAATATAGAATAAACAAAAATTTTCCACCAAAAACTTTAATACGATCTTGATGATTAGTAAATTAAATTAATCTCCTCTTCGGATAATATTTCTTTTAATTTCTTATTGAGCTCATATCGATAAAAATTATTTAAGCTTTCTTGTTTTTCTAAACTAAATAGATTAATAATAAAGTTAGCTTTCCTTTTAAACTTAATAAACAATGATTTGACTTCTTTTAAGATTTTTGAGTCCATTATTTCAAGAAATTTTGTTTCAAAGCTTAAGATATATTTGTTGTGTTCTTCATGAAGATAGCTAAAAAACAATTGTAGTTCTTTTTCAAATTTATCTACGCTTATTTCGGATTTTCCAATTTGTTCAACTGAAAAAGATCGAAGTATATAATAACTTCTCCCAGTTTTTTCGCATAAAAAGGATTTTGACTCATCTGCTGTTTCTGTAAGTTTTCTATAAAAAAATGGTTTTTTACTAGAATAGAATTTTTCACAATAACTTTTGCAAAATTGCACAAATTCAGGCGAATTTTCATACAAAAAAACATAACACATAAAAAAATTATTGTATCCTATCTTTGTAAAAAAATTTCAAAAAACGACCCTAAGTTTAAAAGATCATTTGCCTTTTTAACCACGTAAAGTATATATTCTTCCCCCTTAATAAACATATTGGTGCTGCTAGATAAACTTTTAAGTGTTTCAATATGCCCTTTTTCTATTTCATGAGGAATACTCTTTACAAAGTAGTATAAAGATGGTAAATCATAAAAAGAATTAAGTATCCGATAGTTATAGCTTTTTATAAAAGCACAATAGCATTTATTATCCTTTTTGTAGAAATATTGAAATACTTGTAAATAATTATTATTCCTTTTCAATCGAAACATATCCTCTTCCTCAATCTCTTTAACTGCAACTTCTTTAGATCTTAGTTCTGTAATAAATACAGAAATCCCATCTAAGCAATCTTTAGTAAGAATAGTACTTGTTTTAAGAGCGTGAAAATTAAGAATTACGTTACGATCTTCTGCATATTCTGTTATGCATTTGAGAGTCGCATTCTTTATATTTTTTTCAGTAATAAACCTAAATTCATCAGGACATGAAAATATTGAGTTATTGTCCAAAACTAGCGTATTATTTACGTAGATACCAATATTTCTATCATCAACTTCTACTTTAATATAAACATGTGATCTTTATGGATTTCTTCAATGGTTGGAAGAATTCTTTCTTTAAGCGTATCCAATATATGATTACAAAGTAAAGGCGAGTCAAGGAAACTTTTCATTTCAGAAATAGGATCATAGTTATCAGGAAATGATCTTTGCTTCTCTAATAACAGAATGTCCATCAATAAATTAAAGTTCATGGGGTCTTTTTAAAAAGTTATACTTATATTTTCTTTGATTAATTAATCCTAAAATGAATAAAGTTAAGTTTAAAGAAATAAAAAAAAAATTATGATTGATTAAATTTTATTTGAAAATGACATAGACATTATAAATTAGATTTAAGTTATATTATTGGTTATATTTGTTAATTTCAAGGAGATAGTTAGGTAAAATCAAGTGCTTATTTTTAAAATTTAAAAAAAAGACATAAATGTTTCTTATGAGTTCTAAGCTTTAACATCCTAATTTTTCAATTGATTCCGTGATTTTAGAGCTTTAAAGGAATGTTTTCGTTGAGTTAAACGAAATTATTTATCAGAGTACTGAAATTAGACTAAATTTAAGAATTTTTAAAGGCCCTCCAAAATAAAAAGGAAATAGGGGTTTAAACATATAAGATGGCTTCTATGTTTAAATTAAAACAGCCTTTTCTTGAAAGGAAAAATTAAAATATAAACAAAAATAGTTGTATAACACAAGAAATCGATTCTTTTTTCTTCATTTAACAGATCAGGAAAAATAAAAAAACAAATACATGAGTTTTTAAGTTATGGACCGGGGATGGAGATTTTTGAAAAAAAACCTGTTCAAATATGCTACAAAACCATTTTTGAGAGTTTGTGTCTTTAGTAGGTGTATTTGATCACACATTCAACATTATGATAATATTTTTTAGGTTAAAACTATAGCCTATTAACAGGCGTCTGCGTAGGAACATAAATATATGATGAATTAAAAATGGTGACTGCGTATGTAAAAGCACACAAAACAAGCTGTCAATGAAGCTAGAAGCAAATTTTTAAAAAATTACCTCTTAATTAAATATAAAACAAGACAGTCATTTCTATGAAAGTTAAATATTTCTTGTAACTAAGTAAAAGATAGATCTCATCTAAGTCGTTAAGAAGTAATCATAGCTGTATAAAAGAGGTTTCAAGAAAGAGAAGTTAATACAGCAACAATTTTTTGATAAGCACTTAATCATTAGACTTTTGGAGAGGATTGAATATCATCTTAAACCACCTAGACCGGAAAGTGTTGAAAATACTTACCTGGTGGATTATTTCAATGTGACCATCCCGCCTCAATAATAACAATATTGGGAGATAGATAGATTATGTGACTATTTTGTACGATCCGAAAGGATCATACGGTAATTAGCAGTATTCAAAATTCGCGCGCGTCCACCTCCATCAAGATTCTAGATCGATACTCATCGTGAGCATCGATCAACCACCAGTAACTACCGAAGCGCCCCTCTAGCTACCCCCACCTCTCGCCACCCCACTTCTCCATCCCCTAGTGCCTACGCCCTGCTGGGCCAGTACAAAGGGACATTCTTTCAGTCCATTATCGGAAGCCTGTGAATATACATCGAAATCAAAGGAGTTAAGTAAAATTAGTTAAGGAACGTAAGCGAAGCGAGCTAAAGGTGAGATCTTTCCATTATATACATTTTATATTGACGGTATTTTCCCGCGTGGTAATACCACGTGGTGGACTCTCATTTTTATAATTAAACCACATCCAGGGTTTTTATGCCGCATGGCTTTTCCCTGACGAGCCAATAAAAAAAGGCATTGTTTCTTTGTTTGGCTCAATCACGTGTTTTATTTTACACCTTAACCTAATCCCTTATTCTTCACTTCATAGCATACAATCAATGATCAGAGGAATTTTCATTGAAGAGTCCTTTGGTCGTAACATATTTATTAATCATTGGATTAAGCTACTCATTTATATGGACATGAGCTCGTGTTACAGTGATTAATAAACAACAATAAATAGATTAAAGCCACTATCATAAAAAAATTTTTTTTTCTCAGCTTTTTTTATTTATACATCCTTAAATAACAAGTAAGCATTAAGCTTTCAAGGTATTTCTCATCCCCTTAGAAAACCTAATAAACAAGAGTTATATTATTTAAAAAAACAAAAGCGTTAATCCAATGAGTCTTGTTTATAACTTTGAAATATCCTTAAATCTATTTTAGAAATTTTTATTTGTCATAACTAAAATATTTTACCACCCTTAATGTCTTTAGATAAAATAAAGGAATTGAAGGACAAAAGAAAATGGGATCAGATGTGTGTTGAAATTGCTAGTCAAGTAAACAAGGAAACATAAACATTTTATTGAGTTTATATCTAGAAAATTTAGCACAATACCATATAACATCTGTCACTAGAACTTCTTTACAGCTCTTTAAATTTCTTGATTTTAGAAAGGGGATTGAGCTAATTGATAACTCTATTGCATCTATAAAAGACTGCAATATGTATTCCGATCCTTTTGAAATACAGGTTGTTAACTTGGAGCTTCAAAAATGCGTGTATCTTGTAGATTTAAACAGTTTAGATGATGTTGAGAGAAAATTATATGAGGTAAGGAATATGCAATTACCTCAGAATGTCTTCTGTCTCTATAATTTTCTTGGATATAAATATTATTTAAGAATAGGAAACATTGAGTATTGTGTTGATTACTTGCTTAAGTATGTTAAAATGTCAAACGATGAGACATATATTAAGGATTTGGCTGCTTATTCTCTTATGAGCAAGAATTTTTTTAATTTTATTGAAGTTTTTTCTTTAGATATTTTTAGTAAAATTGATGAAACTCTCAAAACAATTTACGTTGCAGTACAGGAAGGTAATATTAGACTAATAAAAGAAAATGAAAAACATTTTCAGACAATGTTCGGTGAAAGGAAGGATGTGGTAAAAGAAAAAGCATATCTGATTGGACTGATTAATCTTTGTTTTAAAGAAACAGAAAGAAAAGTTACCTTTGAAAAGATTAATGAAGAACTCTTCATCGATGAAGATAAAATTCATGGATTTGTTCTTAAGGCTTTCGGTTTGGGTCTCCTTAAAGGATGGATTGATGAATGTAATAACATTTTATATTTCAACACTATTTTACCAAGATGTTTGCCAAATGAGGAGTTAGAAAAGATGCGAAACAAGTTTGTAGTTTGGAAAAACAAAATGAATGGTTCAATTGAAATGATAAAAAATTAAAGAATTATGTATCGTACTCGTGTTCTAATTTTTTTAGGTATTTTGTAAAGACTACTAATCAATGTAATACAAAGGTAAATTACTTAAAGTTTTATACTTCTCAGAATTATTACAAAATCTTTTATTTTAGAGAAATTTCATTCCTTTATTAATTTGCTTTTTTATCAAATCATTGACATATAGTCGTCTTTAAACATAATTTTGATTTTTGTTTAAATTATTTTTTTTGCCCCTTACAATGGCTAAAAAAAAATTAGCAAATATCTTAGTATTGAAGCTTCAGAAGATGAGTCTGATATTGAATCAGAAGATTTAGACAATGTTGTAGACAGAATACCTGTTTCTAATTTTGTTGACATTGCGGTAAAGCTAGAAGAAAAGTATGCAACTATAGAAAAAGAGTTAAATGAGAAGGACAATTTTGATACGGACGAGACTGTTGAAGAAAGTCTTATGCAATCACAACTTATTCCAAAAAATTATTCTCCACGTTTGTTTCTTGTACGTGTCAAAAGAGGAGCAGAAAAAGAAATTGCACTTAGAATTATCCATAATAAGCCTAATGTATGCAGTATCGTAGCTAAAGATGGTGTTATGGCCGAAATTCCTCAACTAAGAGTCCTCTGGCAATTGGTTTATACTATGAAGTGGAGAATAAAGGGTTAGGTTAAGGTGTAAAATAAAACACGTGATTGAGCCAACCAAAGAAACAATGCCTTTTTTATTGGCTCGTCAGGGAAAAGCCTTGCGGCATAAAAACCCTGGATGAATACTTGATTATACAATAAGAAGGTACCACGTGGCGTTACCACGAGGGAAAATACCGTCGATGTGAAATATATATATATTGGAAAGATCTCACCTCTCGCAATCCGCAAATATAGCGATCACAACCTTAAGGGTTGTGATGTGGAATGGGCTCACTTTCACGARTBTTGAAGATTAGGAGATTCTCTTCGTTGTCCTTTGTGAATTCTTAAAGCCTCTATAATCCCTCAAGATGTGTAGTCGTAGGCGTCCGGTGAAAAATAGAAAGAATGCCCCTTTGTACTGGCCCAGCAGGACGTACGTATTAGGGCTCGAGAAGTGGGGATGCGAGAGGCGGGGGTAGCGAGAGAAGCGCTTCGATAGTTATTGGTGGTAGATCGATGTTCACAGTAAGTATCGATCTAGAATCCTAATCGATGGAAGCGGATGCGCGCGAGTTTCGAATACCGCTAATCACCGTACGATCCTTTCGGATCGTACAGATGGTTTAAAAGGATATATCTATATTCAAGCTTTTCAAAAACAGAGTGTACTAGATTCCTTTGGTAAGACTAGAGGGATTAATAAAAATAAAATCTCTATCTTTCCACAAGAGGAGATGATTGCAGCTTTGACGTACAAAAACAATTATAGAAATGTAGAGTTTGGTAGAATAAGAAAGGGTAAATATAAAGGAGATCTTGCACAGGTGATTGATACCGAAGGTGATATGATTAAAATAAGAATAATTCCTAGAATTAATAGTGTCAAAAAATTGTTTAATCCACTTGAATACAAAGATGAGGCTATCAAGCAAGACAAAGACACGTTTATCTATAGAAGAGACATTTATGTAAATGGTTACTTGGAAAAGGAGGTTCTAAGAAGTACTGTGGATCTTGAGGTGGAGCCTAATTTTGAGGAGCTTGAGTCATTCAATGTTAGGAAAAAATTTGAATCTGATGAAAAGGTAAAGGTTACTAGAGGTGAACTTATTGGGACCCAAGGAGTCGTTCAAAGTAGTCTTGGGAATATTATTACGATTTATGACAAGGATAATGATCGTAAATATGAAGTACAAGCAGATTTTTGTGATAGATATTTTAACATAGGGGAAGAAGTATGTATCAATAACGAGAATGGAGTAATTACAAATATAAAGAATAATTTGTATTACATTGCGATAAAAAACTTTTCTGAAGAAATCAAAGCCACAACTGATCAGATCAAAAAACCAATTCCTGTGTTTAGAGAATTTAAAAAAAAAGGAGGCACCTGTTCTGACCAAAAGATTCTTCAATGAAAATTCCTCTGATCATTACTTATA